ACACACACACACACACACACACACACACACACACACACACACACACACACACACACACACTGGGAGAACAACCTCCTGATGAGTCAGTGAAAGTCCAACGAAACAGTCATGCTTTTCTTTGTGGGGTTGTGTATAGCGAATATGACGACACACAAGAGGGAGAGAGTGGCCCTTCCATTCTGGGGAGTGGCAGTTGGTATTTCCCGCACCTGCACGAGAACAGAGAACAACTTAGGAAATAACATCAACTCACGAAACCGTCTGTCCAGGAAGGTTTTGGGCTGAAAGAACCATGGCTACTGCATGGGCCCTGAACAGACCAGGAACAATCCAAAGCAGAGAGAATCAAGGCCATGGTTCTCTCATGTAGGCAACCATGGCCAGTGCTTGCTTCAAGAGACAGCTTCTTCCCTGCCTGCTTACGTAATTACATGTCGACAAAGGGAAAAAATTAATTGATTTTTGAATTTCACAGACCAAATAAAAGAGAAATTGAATCTTTGAGTTAGTCTGACTTGAATAGGAGTTTGGTTGTTTTGTCTTTAACATCTTCTCTTTTTTTTGAAACAAGTGCGGCAGTGGCACTGTTCGAAACCCTAAAGGCAAAAAAACACGAACGGAGCAAAATGAGCAGCCGGCGGCCACCAAACTCGAAACAGCAATGGAAGTACCACGCGCCGTCATTGGGCCTTTACTATTTTTTTTCCCCGTCCCGTCTGACACCACGGCCGACCTCTTTACTTATGAGACCCGGCCCGGACCTGGACCACAGACCCTTTCGAGTTTGGCAGCCATTCTTTTTGCCCATTCGTGTTTTCTTTGCCCATTCAAAACGCTTTTGTGACTTAAATGCACTTGCCCTTTTTTTCCCCTTTTTTCTATAATTGTTCTTCTTTCTAACATGTTCTGTCAGTGTGCGTCCTTTGATGAAGTTGCCTAAGTTCACTGAATTCAATTTGATGGTCTGTTGGTGCCGTTTGTGTCTGGATGGGTTGAGGATGGGTCATCCATCATCATGACAATCTTGTTTGGTCATCAATCCATCATCAATCATCATCTTGTCTGATGGCAACAGGCCTTTGCGTTCGTGCGTGCTGCGGCGGCGCTGCGTCAGACGAAGGCAACAGCCATGAACGATGTTTCTTCCCGCTCTCATGCTGTTTTCACTCTCAATGTGGTTCAATCAGGTCAGACATTAAGTATGGATCCCTGTATGTTTTCACTCTCTATGCCGTCCAAACCCGCAGACAACCCTCCATCCGATGTGTAGGTATCTTTCTATGGATATGGATAGATCCCTTTATGGATACTCTTTATCCATATGGATCCCTTTGGTATGCATACCTTTATGAATAGAGATAGATTCCTGTAGTATAAATAGCTTTATGGATAGGGATGGATTCCTTTTATCTCTACGGATCCCCGCATACCTTTACGAATAGGGATGTATTCCTGTACTAAAAATGTTAAATAGCTTTATGGATAGTGATGGATTCCTGTATGGATCTCTTTGTCTATACGGATCCCTTTAGTATGCATACTTTTATGAATAGGGATGGATTCCTGTACTATCTAAATAGTTTTATAGATACGGATGGATTCCTATATGGATACTTAAGGACCTCCCAAACACGGACTGAGACACAGCTGATTTCTGAGTTTTGCCAAAGGAATGTATGCCTTGCTGAGGTTCCCGCTTGTTGCTGATTGTTCTAAGTCTGTGTGTGTGCGTGCTTGCTGGTCTGCATGCCTGTCTGAGTGCTTGTCAGTTTGAGTGTGTGTGTGACCCGCAAGGGGACTCGTCCATACGGGAAGCCCGAAAGGCCGGTACTTACCTATTGAGGGTTGCAGCAGGGAAACACTCAAGTGGCAGGGAAAGAGGCTCGCGACACTAAGAGCAGCGGAAAAACACTCAAGTAGCAGGAAGGCCGGTACCACACCAAGTAGAGGTAGATGTGCCGGGTACTCGAGGCCCAGCAGAAGAAGACAAAAGTTGGCATTTTTTGAGGCCCAGTAGTTGTAGGCTAGGTCTAGGCGGGKACCAGTCCAACCAGTCTGAGTCTAGGGCCTGTACGGGCAATATCAGAGTCTGCAATGATGTTTCCCTCCGAGGCGGGTACCGGTTGCTTGGAGGCCGCACGGCCTGGAAGTCACCACCCAAGAGGCAAGCTCACCGCTATATCTCCAGGAGTAGAGAAAGCTCCTCCTCATTCTTCGGTGTGCAAGTTTGGCGACACACTGCTTGGAGCGCTGGCTGGAGCAAGGCTGGCTGGAGCAACTCTGGCTGGAGCAGCGCTGCTGGGGAGGAAGGAGCGCCCAGCTCCCCACCTCGGCTATGGTGGAGGAGCACCGACTGGAAGAGGAGGAAGACAAGGGCTAGGAAGGGGGAGCACCAGAGGTACTTACCTGGCTATGGTGGATGCCATCTTCATCACCTTGGTGGACGATGCATCGGGAAGGCCCCAGTTGGGGTAGAGCTACACCAAGAAGCTTCGGGGCAGAGTCAGGCATGGCGGCCTGAGCTAAAGCAGCCGTAGCTGCTTTGAGTTGTCTTTTGCACATCAGGGCAAGGCCCTAGCAGTCCACCATATCCTCGGCCTTCAGGAAGAGGAAGGAGAAGGGTGGCCATGGCTATAATGGACCTCATGTTGTACCTGCAGTAGAAGAGGGATTCGGACATTGACTATGGTTCAGCCATTTAACATTATTATTATTATTTATTGTTTGAACAAGAGGGGAGGAGAAAAAGGGGAGGAGAGTGGTTGGCGAGAAGAAGTGAATTATCATTGGCCTTTGCTGGTGTACATCTTCTTCTTCTTCATTCTTTCTTCTTCTTCTTCTTTTCCTCTCTCTCCTCTCAAGTTCATTCATTTATTTTTGCAATTGGACGGCATTCAATTTGTGCTTTCTCATGAATGTGTACTTCGAAATTGGCCAGGATCATAACAAAACTCTTTATCTATACGGATCCTGTCATATGCATACCTTTATGGATAGGGATGTACTCCTGTACTATAGATAGCTTCATGGATAGCCATGGTAGAAAAGCAAAGGTGGGAGACGTGGGGAGAGAAGGCCTTCAAAGGGGAATGAGCGAGCGCATTTCGACAGGGTGTTTCGATATTTATTTATTTATTTATTTATTTATTTATTTATTTATTTATTTATTTATTTAATATTTAAAGTTTTAAACAATTAAACAAATGTAAGTAACACTATAATTACCATAACAGATTCTTTTGGAGATACCAAATCTTGGTCCTCTTCTGGTTCAGTGGGATTTAAAGGATCTCGTCCTTCAACCAATTATGCTGCTCAAGCTACTGCTGAGAATGTGGTATCATTCTTTTATTCCTTTTTTTTTAAATATTATTATTGTGCCAATCAGATTCTAACGGTGGGAACACAGAGAGGACAAGCGGGCGCCTTCATCTTGTTGATCTTGCTGGCTCAGAGAGGCTGGGGAAGAGTCAATCGGAAGGCCAGAGATTGAAGGTAAAATAGCACTCGTCCTTAGCTAGTGATTCACAGAGTTGCTCTGCTATGTCGCACCCTTATAATGAATGTATATGTATGCAAGCTCATTCTCCGGTCCGGCACAGTCAGGATGGCATGCTGCACGACTTGAGAGACAGGGATATGCAAAAAAAAGGGCTAAGCAGCCCTTGGAAATGTGTCTTAAGACTCTTATAAGACTCTTATAAGACTCTTAACTCAATACCATTCTGGGCCTTTTGGCTAAAAATAGATCAAGTGTAGGATCTGTTCTGATCAGTTTAATATCTGATCCGTGGTCCATCGGGCCACATGATATTAAATTATTTTTTTCTTAGGGGTACGGAGGGGTCATAGGGGTAGACTTGCCTACTCGACCCTTCCAGCGTTGCCTCCGTATTGCACTGCAGCGGAGCGTGGCGCGGCCCATTAATTAAAAAAAAAAAAAAAAAAAAAAAAAAAAAAACTCTCAACTCGTGATTAAAAAAAGAAAGAAAAAAAAGGTTGATAGTCTGTCCACTGTCCAGCCTTTGTTTTTGACGTCAACCCCAACAACTGTTCACCCACAAATGGATCTCTCTCTCTCTCTCTCTCTCTCTCTCTCTCTCTCTCCCCTCTTCCCCGGTTGTCGTCGTTTATCCATGTTATTTCTCCACCCACGAATGGATTTAGTTTTGATCTCTTTGATGTGAAGGTTTTTTTTTTTTTTTTTTTTTTTTTTTTAATGCAAAGAAATAAATGGTGCGATTGCAAGACTTACCGTAAAATAAAAATAGAAAGAAGAAAAGTCTTACCGTACGCGAAAATAAAAAGAAAACAACTTGCCGTCTGAGGACAGACACAGATTTGCCTTTAGATGACGCACTCACATTTCTTATCCGGGGTAGGACGTCAACACAAAATCCCAAGCAGCATCAAGCATTTTCGAAAAATATACATTCGGGACATCCGTTACAATTGGAACGATACAGAGAAAGAAGATTAGCAGATGGCCCCTGCGCTTTCAAGGATGACACGCATAAATCGAGAAATCGACAACATGGCCCAACTGGGCTAGGCTCATCTTCTCTGTATCGTTCCAAGGTCCAAATCCTACCCCTTAAGCGCGGTGGGCCCACGGGGGGGAGGTCGTGTTCCGGCCCGAAGTTTTGATTCGGGCCGGCGGATGAAGGCGATCGAGGGAGGGGCGTTGTGCAGAGTGGTGCGTGCACCAAATTGTTCACAGCGCGCCACTAAACGAGAGAGAGCGCCCACCGGGCTGGGTACACGGCGGGCATCGATGCGCATTCATATCTGAACGCGCCCGCCGTCGGATGGCAAGAAAGTGTCGTTTCGTGCCCTGGCCCCTTTTTTTTCTTCTTGATTTTGTGTTTTTTTTGTAATTTTGTATTTATCTTCTTTACTTTTAGTTTTTTTTTCTCCTTCTGGCGTGTTGTTTTGTGTCCTTCCAGCGTGCCTTGACCTTTTTTTTTTATAGCATTTTTGTTTTCGGTCTGCTGTTTTTTACTTTTTTTGTTTTTGTTTTTCTTTTTGTTTCGTGGTCGGCGTCCACTTTTTTTTTCCCCCCTGTTTCGGCGTCCACTTTTTTTCCCCCCCTGTTTTTTGTTTTTTCTTTTCTTTTTTTTTTTTGTTTCCTGGCGGACGGGAAAATGGAAAAAAGAAAAGTTTCTACTCACCTGCCTACATACATACATACATATATAAGTCTTTTAAGTTCGTCCATAATGGTTGCGTTGGGGTTTGAACCCATGCATAAATTTCGAAATACCCAATTGCCATTTGAGCTAACCGCTCAGGTGGACTGGGTCCCTATTTGTTTTTGGGGACTGTTGTCTTTTGAAGTGTATCCYACGTCAGGCTGCTGGCACGTCAGGATGTGCCTGTGTGTCCGAACCCTAACGTCGCAGTGTGACCCCCGCCGGCCTGAAATGGACTTTCCTAGGGGGGGCGGCGACCGGGCAGGCGCAGGCGGGTCCAGGCCAAACATTTTCAAGCGCGAACTTTGACGATTTTTCGCGCTCAGAAAAAT